TTACAGGCCTCTTGCAAGTCTGAAATCCAATAGGGCAGTCATTAAACCTTAAAGTTCCAAAATGATTTCCTTTGACACTATGTCTCACATCCAGGTCATGCTTATGCAAGAAGTGTGCTCCCACAGCCTTGGACAGTTCCACCCCATGGCTTTTCAGTGTACCTCCCACCTTCTGGCTGATTTCACGGGCTGGCATTGAATGTCTGTGGCTTATCTAGGTGCTCAGTGCAAGCTATCGGTGGATCTACCATTCTGGGGTCTGAAGGATGATGGCCCCCTTATAGCTCCATTAGGCAGTGCCCCAGGGGGGAATCTGCGTGGGGATTCTGATTCCACATTTCCCTTCTGCACTGGTCCAGCAGAGGTTCTCCATAAGAGTTCTGCCTCCACAGCTAGCTTCTTCCTGGACATTCAGCCATTTCCAGACATCCTCTGAAATCTAGGCAGAGATTCCCAAACCTCACAACTGGAGTGGAAGGATAGAAATAAGGAAAGGAGGAAGGCTAGAATGAACCATGTGGTATTGGATTAGAGTAGGCAATATCAGTATGAACTTATGTTTACATTATTATATAAATACAGGTGAATAAATGTAGAAATATTTATATGTGTGTATATACAGTGATCAAAGTTGAAACAATTTGAGCACAAAATGAGTTTTAAAAGTAGTACTAGATTATAATTAAAGTATAAAATATATATCCATGCTGATATAAATAAATATATTATTGAATAAATAAATAAAGGGGAAGACAGTAATATCTCCTGTAAAATTCCAGATTATTTATGTAGATATTCCTCCTTCAAGGAGCTACAGTGTAAGTTTCTACCCTTTAAGTGTAGGCTACACTTAATGACTTGCTTTCATGGAGGACAGTGTGAAAAGAGGAGAAAGGTAACAATACTGTGGAGAAAGCTGGCAAACACTACCTTAGTCAGATAAAGTTAACATTATCAGTGATAAATCATGTTGATAGACTATAACCTTAATATGACAGAATGAGAACTATAATTTACCTCTGTAGTCTTCCTTCCCAAACCCATAACCCAAGGTGAACCATGAGAAAAACATCAGACAATGGAAACTGAGGCATATCCTACAAAATACCTGACCAGTATCCCTTAAATTATCAAGGTCATCAGGAACAAGGAATGACTGAGAAACTGCCGCATCCCCCAGGAGCCTAGGGAGACATAATGGCCAAAGGCAATGGGGTGTCCTGAGTGGGATTCTAAAAAGGAAAAAAGACATTATCAAAAACTAATAAAATTCTAGTGAAGTATGGAGTTTAGTTAATTATTATTTAGTTAATAATAATATCTCAATATTGGCTTCTAAGTTGTGACAAATACACCATCATAATGTAAAGTATTAAGGAAACATGTGTTTGTATGGATATACAGGAAATTTTTGTACTATCTCTGAAACTTTTGTGTGACTCTATAACCTATTCTCAAATAATTATTTTTAAAAATTATGGTTGCTATACTTTATAAACTCCATTTCAATGGTATAGTCATCTAATTATCTTCCCTAAGGTGTGGTAATAGTAAAAACAGACTCTCCAATTCCTGGATCTATTCAGACAGCTTTATTCTGGAGATAACATTGTGGGAAATGAATAAAAATATTCAATTACTTTTGAATACTTGCTATCAGAAAACAAATACTTATGTAATGAGATTGTAACTGTTTATAGCAAGAATTTTCTTTCCTAATAACAAAATTCTTGAAGATAAATGTGTAATTCCTAAGAATGAAATAAATACATCTTCTAAGACAATGAGTTTACAAAATGATGAGGCTTTTTGCAATGCTCTCAGAGTTTAATTGTAAAACAAAGACAGTGAGAAGGTAGTTTGAACTATAATTCTTTATACAAAATCATCATCTACAACAAGCCTTTTACTTAATTTATTCTTAGCTAGCTTATACATTTAAAAAGGGAAATTAGATGCACTAGAAAGTAATGAAAGCTAAAGCTATTATTTTTCTATAAAGTGAATCTGTAAATCTCTTCTGTTGCTACCTTTTCAATCCCTTTGAGATTTTTTTTTTACTAAGAGGAGAGTTTCTCAAGAGATTGAATTTTGTGGGTAAGTATAATAATTCCTGCCCAGGTTTTTCTGTTACTGGATCTATGACTTTTCCAACTTTGAAAATTATCTCAGGCAAATTGCGTATCATTATCTTAGTTTGTAAAACAGGAGCGCTTTTGAGAAGCATAATGTCCTCAACCATGGTCTATCAAGTGAAAAAAGTAGGTGTATCATTATCTTAGTTTGTAAAACAGGAAGCACTTTTGAGAAGCATAATGTCCTCAACCATGATCTATCAAGTGAGCAAAGTAGGTTCTTCAGGTTTTTTGAACACTTTGGAAATAAGAATCCTTACCAAGCTGCATCCGTCACCACTCCCACTTTGTGTGTGTGTGTGTGTGTGTGTGTGTGTGTGTGTGTGTGTGTACTGTTGTTTTATGTTTATGTGTTTGTTTTTGTTGCCAGCTCTATTACTTTCCTCCTAATCCATTTGACCTGGACAGTTAAATATACTGTTAATATTACAAAGCTTTGGGTACCTACTGTATTAGTTTGTTCTCATGCTGCTGTAAGAACATACTCAAGAATGGGTAATTTATAAAGGAAAGAGGTTTAATTGACTCACAGTTCCACAGGGCTGGGGAGGCCTCAGGAAACTTACAATCATGGTGGAAAGTGAAGCAAACATGTCCTTCTTCACATGTTAGCTGGAAGGAGAATGAGTGACAAGTGAAGGGGGAAGCCCCTTATAAAACCATCAGATCTTGTGAGAACTCACTCACTATCATGAGAACAGCATGGGCGTAACCACCCCATGATTCAATTATTTCTACCTGGTCCCACCCTTGAAATGTGAGGATTTTTCAAGGTGAGATTTGGGTGGGGACACAGAATCAAATCATATCACCTGGGAACTTCTCTGACTCATTTTGGTGGCACCAGGTGAAAAAAAGATATTCATAATTCACAGTCTCATGTATACATTTTCCAGGTTAAGCAGTGGTCTGTTGCCCAATAAAATAACTTGAGTTAAAGAAATACATAGCCTAAATTAAATTTACTAAAATAGATAAGTTGTATTTAATACATATTTTAATATTTTATTTTCATAATATATATATACTTACTATAGTATTTAATTTTTAGGTCTCAAATCTAAAAGGAAAGACTTGATTTGTTGTAAGAATTTGGCAACTCATCAGTGTTTAATTTGTAATAGATAATTATTTTAAATGTTTTAAGTTCTGTTTTTAATAATACAGGACTGAATTATTTCTATGAGGCTCTAAAATGTTATCATACCAAAAAGCAAATGACATCTTTGAGTTTCTCTCAGTTATAAGAGATAACAAATGTGCAAAAAAGAGAAAAGAACTGTTAATGTGGGAATATCCTTTCTACAGGCATATTGCAGTTAAGCTTTCAACAAATGCTATATAAAAGTCAGAGGAAAATGTGGGAGTTACATCACAGGGCCTCCACCATTTAAAGAGAAAAACTGGAAAATCTTTTATGAATATAGGGGCTTCATTTTTTATTTCATGGTTCTGAGGAAAGGTTGAGTCCTACAGCAAGGGAAAATGTCAGGGCAGAATTCATATGGTAACACCAACATTCGCAATGCACTTTGCAAGACACATTTCAACCTGTTCTTCTGTTCCATGGCACCGAGCAATAGGCAGAACGAAGTGTAAAAAATCCACAGATCCAACCATTTGACTAAAGTCTCCTCATGGTGAGCCGGTTCATCTACCTGACTGCTTTTTACCTTTTAAGATTAACCTGAAGAACACTCTTCCTGGGGAGACCCCTTCCTAATTCTTGAAGTTCCTGAACTGTATACATTGGATTGTCATTCTTAACTTGTGGGCATGATCAGCTAAAATGTAATGCCTCTAAAGAATTATTTATATTCTCAGTGGCTTGTATAATGACAAGCGTACAGGAAGGGTTCAGTGGTTTGTTCAAAGGACTATTAAACATTAATTTAGAAGAAAGGATGACCAGAAAAATGCTTTTATTAATCATGACATGAAATTAACATGACATCCTATTAGAATTAAACCAGGATAAATACTGCTGTTATAAAATTTATATTTCTCACATCCATTCCAGAGGAAAATCTTACATATTAGGGCTCAAGTTAATCTTATGGACTGATTTCTGTAAAACTTTTTTAAATAGTAAATAGCAATGAATATTCTCAAACTATGTTAGTAGTTAGAAAGGCAAGTATAAAATCTATCATGATAACACCCCGCGGGATTAGAACTATTCTGTTAAACATTAAGAACCAAATCTCTGTTCTAGCTGTTACATCAGTGCACCTTTTTCACTGGTAAGGCAAATGCTTGTTGTGGGTGCCACAATGATTACCAAGTTTCTTCTTAAGTAAAAGACACTTGTTTGATCAAGACTTAAGTGAGTTTTCTTTCTCAATTTTGCTCTTTTGGAGCAGAAAGAAATACCTTCATCTTTGATTATATAGAGAGAGGCAAATATGAAATATGGCTGTTATAATGTAAATCACAAACAGGAGCAATGAATTATTATTAGAAATAAGTCTTTGAAATATTTCTTTTTTAAAATAACAAGGATTCTAAATAATTTCTCAAAACTAGCTTTCCATTTTAGATACACGACTTGGTACACATAGCACATTAGATAGGTACTTAATAATTTCTTCTATCAACTACGCTTTGCCCTCAGTACGGGTTAGAGTATGATTTCAAACAATTTCTACATATAAAGCATCTTTAAATAAGTTTTGTGTTGACTGAACTGAATCTTCTTTCACTTGTGTACCTGCGGAAGTTAATTTGAGCATACACATATACTTGCATATATATGTGTACATGTATATGTTTTTTAAGTAAGTTAACTTCCACCATTAGAAGAAACCTAGACGTGACAGGGACAACTCTGTGGGGAACAGTGCGATCTGCCTTAGCAACCCTCCTCTAGGTTGAGGGAGGCAGGTATAGTTCGCTGAAGAAGGTAATGAGGCTGTAGCAAGTCTTATCATCTGTTAATCCCGTGTTGCTCGGTCTCACCACTACAGCTGCGTGCACAGCTGCTCCCTCGGCAGCCCTGGCCTCTTGAGTAACGTCTGTCAGAAGCAAAACATTTTTGGTTGAGTACCCAATGCTGTCTCCAATCTTTCTGTAACTTTCACTCTCCACTTTGTGTCCAATCTTGGTGTCAAAGTGACCAACAACAAGCTCAAGAATATCTCCCTGCATAGAATGCCTAAATAACAGTTTCTTTGCCTCCACACTCGTTGGGGAATAGATGTACACCTTCGTTTGGACCTCTCTCCGCTTCCTGACAGCTGGAACTACATCTGCGAAGAACTCTGCTTTCCTGCGCCCAGCTGCGAACGCCGAACTCCACATGTGGCCCTGCAGCTGTTTGAGTGCAGTGGTCTTTCGATCCAGGTCCATCTGCCAGCACGCATATCTACCACGGCCTGGATCATCCACCCCATTCCCAGACGCTGCAGAGATAGGAACAGTCCATCCAGCTGGGCGTCCTCTTCAGCCTGTTTCCTCCAAAGCCTGACCTCCTGCTGGCAAGCCTCTTCTTCCCACTGTGTCTGCAGATACTCTTTAACATTTTCTTCGACGTAAGGAAATAAAATGTCCTTCAAGAAAGCAACTGGGGGTGTGGTACCTTCCATATCTAATGGGATCACGGTGACTTCAGCGGGTACAGAAAGCACAAGCGTTTCCCTAACAGATGCTGTCACAGGACCCCTGCTGTTGGGGGAGGACGGAGGGCGGCGCTGGCTGCGGCCGTGCAACACCGCCCCCCTCCTCTGCCCCCGTTCCGTTCTGGGCTTCTGAAGGCCCCGTGTCACCTCGGAGTCAGCGACCACGTGCAGCCTGCCGCGTGTGGGGAGAGGATACCTCTGCACACCTGGTACTGGAAAAGGCGGCCGCCTAGGAGCCTTGAACTGTGTGAGCAGTTCGGGGCCGGAGCCCGAGACCACGTGGGCAGGGAAAGAGAGGCTGGATGAGCAGAAAAATAAACCTACCTGGGAAGAATCATGAGTCCTACATTGAGTTTCATTCAAAAGGAAACTAAAAGTGCTGGGAAGCAAGAGCTTCGTTGCAAACCAGGTGGTAACGAATGAACGTGTTCATAGGCCGTTGCATTTTGACAAAGCAAATTGTTTTGTTATAGCAGGAATTTATTTTCTTTCAAGATTATTAAAATAATTCATATTCATTCTTACAAATTAAGAGTGTACATACGGTTGGAGACAGAAGAGAATGATGATCAAGGCATTTCAAATGGAAGCCATTTATGGCACTGGAAACATTTATGGTGGGTGTACTATGATTTTGTTTATCGCACACCCATTCTTTCTCTTTTGGGTAGTAGCTCACGATTTTCCTTTGAGATAACACCTCTTCCAATTCTTTTTGTGATTTAGCTGAGATAACTCCCTAATAAAATCCATAGTAGAGCCCATGAACTTGAAACTATGGGAAATTAGCATATTTCATTTTCTAGGCATAGTGATTGGCTGAGAAACGTGCATGTGAGCCAATCACATGTACAAGTCAGATCAACCAGAGCTTATCCTGGGACTTTCCCTGGTATAACTAGGAGAAGGTAGTCTCTTCCATTGTACTTGAATCTATGAGATACAAATCTCATAGATTTGTATCTATGAGCTGCCAGGTGCACACAACAGCAGGATCTCCCTGAAATGTTGCTCGTGAAAGAAAAAAAAAAAAAAAAAAAAAAAAAAAAACAAAAAAAAAAAAAAAAAAAAAAAAAAAAAAAAAAAAAAAGCCGAGTCTAGTGCTCTAATGGTATTGTATGATTCCCCAGAACAAGCAACCTTTCAATGACTTAAACCAATAAATGCTATATATTATTTAATCCAAAATGACAGGAATGATTCCTATAAGCCTAATTTTTGCTTCTTTAGAAACAATGAAGAGAAAGTTTCAGAGAATGAATGATTTAGATACCAGTCAGAATAATCTCCAAGGTTTATTCTTTTTTTTCTGATATTGTCTACTTGGAGATAAGGGTTTATTCTTTACTCAGAGAAATATTACATTACACTCAGATATTATAATATAGTTTTAAGACTCTGCTTTTGAAGTTTATTTCTCTGCTTGTGAGAGTCTTTTTTTTTTTTTTTTAAACGTTCAACCAGTTCTGCTCACTTTTTATGAAAGCAGCTGTAGTTTGGCAAAGGAATTGGTATCTTATGTAAAGTTTGCTTTGAGCCATTTTTCTTTTTCTTTCCAACAATACTTCTTTTGGGATATAAATCATTGGCAATAATGATACTAACAATGACTTAATCATCATTTGATAGACAAGTCTATCTCTGCTCTTTAGCGGAAATTTTAAGAAGATGTATTAAGTAGTAGCAAGCCCAGTGTGAAGACAAATTTTTTTTCAGCAGAAACTTCCCTGCTTAAATTATTAGAGTAATGTGAAATGCATTTTCTTTTCTTTTTCTCATCCTTTTTTTGGTCATTAAAATAATAAATGCTTCAGTTGATGGTATGAATAAATCTTTCTGTGTATCTGGTTATAGCTAAATGTGAAATTGCTACATAAAATTGATTTCAAGATAGATCACAACAGTTTGTAGTATATATGAATTCATAAATATTACACCATTAACAGTATCAATTTTATGAATTCAATATTTGCTTTTTCTGTCAGGTTTTGAATCAGTGTGTAAAAGGTTTTTACTCTGATTCTATTCATTTGGTTAATTTTGCTTTAGATATTTGAAGTTGTATTATTTAGAGCTGTGAATTTTCTCCAAGAATCAGTCACTTTTTCATTATTAAATGAATAACCTTTTTATCTTTTGTAACACTTCTTACCTTTAAATCTAATTCATCTAATATTGGTGTAGTTTCATGAACTTCTTTTGCTTAATGTTTTATAGTATATCTTTTCCCATTGTTTCATCTTTAAAGACTTATAATTAAATTGCATATTTTTAAGTAAATTTATTTGTTTAAATGTTATCTGCCAACATTAATTACCCGAACTACTAATTTATTTAATTTTTATTTGTATATTTATTTCATTTAAATTAAGAGTATAATTGAGTTTATGTATACCATCTTACTATTTGCTAGCAATTTTGAGATCCTTTTTCCGTCCTTTCTCGACTGTTTTGGATTAATTTTAATTCCATTCACTATATTTTAGTGGCTTTCCTAGAAATTACATGTTTTTATTTATTTAAATATGATATTAAACATTACTTTTGCAACATTTCTAGAAGCTTATTACTTTAGAATATCTTAGCTTCATTATCAGTTTTGCTTTTGCATTACTGCTATATTTTACAATACATTGTATGAATTATATATAGTAAAAATATATTTTATACTCCACAAGCCATTAATTATTGTTTTGGGACCTCAATATATTCAATTCACTGACATATTCACCCTCTTTTATCCTTCCTGTGGTCTTGATTTTCTGTCTGAGATCATTTTACCTTCGCGTGAAGAATACCCTTCATAGTATTACTTTTAGCAAGAGTTTACTGGTGTCAAATTTTCTTAGTCTCTGTTTGTCTGAAATGTCTTTATTTTGCTGTTGCTTTCATGCTTCTCTGGATTTAGAATATCAAGTTGGTAGTTGTTTTCTTTCAGCATTTTGATGATGCTATTCCACTGCATTCTAGTCTTATTAGTTTTTGTTAGTAAGTCAGTGATCATCTTCTCAGTGATCCTTTGAAATTGACAGTTTCTTTTCTTCAGAATGGCATTTAAGATATTCATTTGACTTCGGCTTTTTAACATTTTAGTATGATGTTCCTTAGTATGCCTTTCTTTGCATTTATCCTCCTTGGTGGTGTTGGCAAGGCTCAAATCTATGGATTGATGTCTTTTTCAGCTTTGGAAAATCTTCAGCTATTATCTCTTAAAATACAGCTTCTCCCACTATTATTTCTCCTCTCATGTTGGGACTCAGTTTACACATAAGATCTTTCCACTATGGCTGAAATGCCTTTCTTGAGAGAGAGAGGCAAAGAGAGAGAGAGAAAAAGAGAGAAAGAGAGAGAGAGAGACAGAGAAAGATCTTTCCTACATTCCCATTTCCAGTTCAACAATCCTCTCTTACTGTGTGTCCCATTTGCTGTTAGATCCAATTATTGACTTCTTAATTTCAGTTACTGTATTTTTTATCTCTAGAAATTCCATATGATACTTTCTATAGATGGCAGTTCTCTTTTCCTTCTTTTCTCCTTCTTGTCTTCTAGTTTTGAACATGTTTATCAACATTATTTTAAATTGCAGGAGAAATAATTCCAATAGCAGAATCACCCCATGAGTTTGTTTCTATGGTCTCCCTTCTCTCTCTCTTTCTTTGTCCTGCCTTTTGGCATTCTTATTCATCTCATACTGAAATATAGATGTTGTATTTTTAAATAGTATAGAAGTTCTGGGTGCTTTTCCTCAACAGGAGGATTTAAATTTGTTTCTATCTGGCAGTGAGAATAGGGGCAAACCACTTTAATCCACTGAGGGATTGAGCCCATTTTAGTCTGGGCTTCAGGTTTTATAAAGCTTCTTCTATCTACAGGCAACCCTTTCTTTTAGGAAGCAGCCTTCAGGATCCCCAACTGAGAATGAAGGCATTTGCTGGGATTCCATCTCCCTCGCTGGCAGGCCCTGACCTCCCAGTTCTGTAAGACTGCTGAAAGCACTCCTTGGCTTCTTCAGCTTTATACAAATCATGCTTTTGATCGTGTCTCATACAGTCAACCTTGTACTGCTTTGAAGGGGCAAAATTTTTTTAAGGGGAAAACGTGGTGCTGAGCAAGACATTTCTCCAACTTTTCCTAGAGGACTTGCTAAGTCCCAAATTCCAATTTATTTTGCTCTCTTGCTATGTGAAACTGCCAAAAACTCAACTCAGGGTCTCCCCTCCTGAACCACCAGTTTTTGCTCAATCTCTCTCTTGGTGCCAGTTACTAATCCATAAAAGCCTTGAGGGAAAAGAAGTGCAGAATATGGGGTTCCTCTAATGGCTCTGCCCTGCTTTACAGGATCATGGCCTCTCATGTCCTGCAGGCTGACAGCTCTCTCGTTTCTTAAAACAGCTTTTTCAAAAGTATACAGCTCTTTCAGGTGCCTTTGATAGGAAAGTTGGTCAGGTACAAGCTCATACCACAAGTAGAAGTCTTTGAATATTTTGATTTTGCTTGTTGATTAACAAGCGGCCTTTACATACCTAAGACAATTTTTATTTGAAGTATGTGGTTTTTTTCCTATTTTGTTCAAACTCCTTTTTGATTTACAGGAGTATGTCATAAGTTAGTTGTCAAATATATTATTAGTCTTTTAAGACTTCAATTGGTGCTCAGAAATAGTTATTTTCTTACCCTTTTCCAGACATTTTTCTATTTTTTCTCTCTGGTTTATTTTTATTTACATTTAATTTTAAAATTTATCTAACTTTAATTTTGTTGCATGGAAAGTTAGGGAACTTCCCTCGCCCCCTAATTACTTAACTATTTGTTGAATAAAACACTTCACCCCCCCCCAATTATTTAACCATTTGTTCAATAAAAATTCTTCCCCAGTGCTTTGGAATTTCACCTTTATCAAATAGTAAATTATTATTTAAGTTTAAGTTTTCTTTTGAATTCTCATTAATCTATTATTACACCTATAATATGCTGTTCTAATGACCAAACTTCAATAATTCACTTTACTACCTGATGGTTCAAGTACCTTCTCATTGCTCTTCTTTGCCAACTTTATCTTAGCTGCTCACATGAGGATTTTTTTTGCCTGCATGTCAGAAGTGATTACGGTCTGGCCTAAAGCAGTAGCAGTGGGGATATAGAGCAAAGACAGAGTGAGTGGTACTGAGTATTGCCATCTATAGGGCCTAATGGATTTAACAGCTAGAGAAAAAAAAATGGCATCTTACATGATTCTAAGTCTCCCGGCTTGGGAAACTAAGAGAATAGTAGTATCATTAATTAAGATTGAGAATACAAAGAAGAAGATTATCACAGAGGGAGCTGCATCTGTCCCGAGAGCAGAAGCAGTAATTGTAAGAGATTGGTGGTAGGAAATGGCTGTTTGGCTAGTAGGATAGAAATCTGACTTGGGAATATTAAAAATAAAAATAAGTGAAATCCAGCTTACATTAGATATCAAATGAAGTTTATTGTGGCATCAATTCTAACAGATTCATGATTTTTAAGGAGCAGTCCACAGAAGCTTCTTTCATACATTCAACCACATGAAATACACTACTAGGCTGTAAACTGTGGGGAGGGGTATGGAAGGCAGACAGATCAAGGTTAGGAAATTTTTGGACAAAATGTTTCAAGTTGGGAAGTTGAATCTACTGATAGAAAACCTGTTGATGTGGCCAACCATAAATTCTACTTTTATAAAGAAAGAAATAAAGCTGGGCAGATTATTGAAAATATAAAATAGGATTATGATGAGTTGAAACAGTTTTATAAGCACCATATCAAAACTAGGCAGTATTTATCTTTCAAGGTCATTTACATGATGGCTATGGAAGAACTGAAATGTCCCCTGACCCTCTGTATCTGCCTATGCACTCTGCAGCCTAAGGCCAAAATAGATCATAAACAAAAGCCTCGAGTTTGCTTACTAAAGAGAACATGCAGCTTCTTGAACATCTTTCAGGTGTATACATACCAACCAGTATTATAATTTTTTTTTTTTTTTTTGGAAACAGTATCTTGCTCTGTCATTCAGGATGGAATGCAGTGACATGTTCGCAGCTCACTGTAGCCTCCAACTCCTGGACTCATGTGATCCTCCTTCCTCAGCCTCCTTAGAGCTGGGACTACAGGCATGTGCCACCATGCCTGGCTAATTTTTCTTATTTTTTTGTAAAGACAGATTTTCACTCTGTTTTCACGGCTGGTTTTGAACTCTTGGCCTCAAGCAATTCTCCCACCTCAGCCTCCTAAAGTGCTGAGACTACAGGTATGAGCCACAGCCTCAACCTACATTGTTTTACTGATCCTTAAAGAGACTTAGGAACTATCACCTTTAATTGTACATATTCTAAATATTGTTTCATTTACATGCAAAAAAATTAGAGGGACAGGATTTTGAAGAGATCAGTGTTCATGAGGTTTCTTTGGCTTCCTTTAACCCTGATCCTTTAACACTTTACCCTCCTAATTTCAACAACAAGATCAGAATTGTGGAATTTTGAACTTGGAAGGAAGTATAAAATTTAATGGAGTCTTCTACTTCATCTCCATTTAGTAACTAAAACAAATAAGAATCAGAGAAGACACAGCTGCAGTTAGTCTGTAAATCAAAAGCAGAACTAAACCCAGAAAATTCAGGTTTCCTAACAAATGACGTAAATACTTTCTACTATAGTGTAGAGATTAGAAAACTCATTTTAACATACTTTATTAATTTGCCGTATCATTTTGCATATTCTCTCCCTACCCCATCCTCCTTTAAGATTCAGCAAAATTTTTAATGTGAAGAATAAAAAGTGGTTTTGATACTCTCTCCAGATTATCAGATTTCTAAAAAGAGCTGACACAAAGCACTTTTATAAGCAATTTTAATGTAAAGGCACTGACAGTATGCAAATAAGGCACAAAGCCAAGCTTTAGAAATGAACTAGAGAGATAATGAATTCACATGGTGCCATTTTTAAAATTAGGCTTTAGTCATGTGCTCTTATTCTTTGTTGGTGGACAAGCCACAGCAACCCTGACCTCAGTTTTGCTGCTGCAATAGATGCACACCTGGATTAGCAACGGACAGAATGAGCTACTTACCAAGTCTCATTTTTTTTGGCAGTGTCTGTTCACCCCACCCCCATCCTGTTCTACTTCAAAGTCAGAAGGAAATGAAGCCACAATGTGAACAAAAGAGCTCTAACATTTTTTTTTCTCCTGCTGCCTCCCTCCCTCTTCACCGTCCTCCCCACATAGAGCTACTCTACCCCACTTTGGTTGTAGTGTGACATCCCTGCCTGCCCGAGGAAGAAACAATGAGCAGGGACTGCAATTGCAGACAAGTGTCACCCAGAAGCCACAAGTTTCTGTAAGCACCAGGTCTACAGACCACCCAAGGCATAGCAATGGCATTATCACTGGAAGAATTCGTCCACTCTCTTGACCTCAGGACCCTACCCAGGGTTCTAGAAATCCAGGCAGGCATCTATTTTGAAGGTAAGCACTCCCCAAAACCTTGACTGGCTAGAGCATTCTTGTATACACTCTGGAAAACAGGAGAGGGAAATTTTAACAGCAAATATGTGAGTTCTGGTAAAGGAAAAGTGATCAGAAAAGGGAGAAAGTAATGAACTGACCAATGAATAGTCAAGAGCCAATAGTGTTGAAGAAGGGAGAAACTAGATAGAACTCTGCGACAGACAGAAATAAGGAATTGAGTGAAGCTTCTTGAGATTTCTGTAGGCCTTGAATGGTGAACTATTTCTGCCTTTGCTTTGAAATTGATTGTAATCAAGAATGACAAATTTAGTTATCAGTATTTATGTTTCTACAATGTAAAAAAGATTTAGCTTGCTAAAACAGAAGCAACTAGCAAAGACACAGTGTTTAGAAAGAAGTATTTCCAAATATTTCCCAAACTTTTAACTTCTAAATGTTGCTCATACCATTGTTTTTCTCACTCTGTAGTGGCCTAACTCCTAATTCCTTAAATAATGAAGATTTTCATTTGAAAGTATAGAAATTATTGCTACAAGATAATTTTTTTTTAATTTATGTTGAAAACTCAGAGTTCAATTAAACTTATTGAACAATAAGATAATGAGTTTTGGTGTAACTTATATTAATTCAGGGAAAAGAATATTAAAATATCCAATATACAACCCAGAATCTTTACGTAGTTAGTTTGAATACATACAATAAAATGAGCAATTTTCTAGGTGTATTTCTAGCCATCAATAATGGTATAATTGAAGCAACTGTAGAATCAGATCAAGCCAAACTACCAGGAAAATAACTACTGGTAGGCAGGCCTTTCCTGTTCATAGACAAAATAATATATTACGTATTATGTGGCAAAGTAAAAGAAAAATTAACAAATGTAAGCTCCAGTTTTTTTATACACACACACACACACACACACACACACACACATACACACATACTTGCAAGTGGTGAATTAATATGGGCTGTTATCAGCTTAGTGTACAGTTTTATTCAATTAATTCATAAGTTGATTCTTGGAATCAGACTATGTTTTGCCATGTTTAATCGTATTATTGATGTCTCTATTTCTAAGCCAGCTCCAAATCATTTTTGTCTCATGCTTTGTGCTTTTTAGCCTTTATGTAAGAAGTCTTTCTCTATGTCTACATTAAAAAGATGTTTTCCTATATTGTTTTTATCAGCTTTACAGTTTTATATTTTGCATTTAGTTTTTAGTCTATTTGTAGGACACTGGTATGAATTATACAGGGATCCAGTTTTAGTTGTCCCTATACAGTTCACCTGATTTCCAGTTACCATTTGCTAAGCTGACAATGTTTCACCCATTGACATATGTTGCCTCCTTTAAATCATATTATATATTCTCCTCTCTATCAGTCCGTCTCTAAAATGTCTCTTCTATTTCATTAGTTTACTTTTTTTCTTAATTGCCCCCAAATCACACTATTTTTGTAACTGTAGCCTTGGAATAAGTGTTAATATAGAAACAGTATGTAGACCAATCCCTTGTAATCAATCTTTTTTTTCCTAAATTGGCTTAGATATTCATAGACTTTAAAATTTTCTTTACAAATACATAATATGTATGCATGTTTATGGAATACACGTGATATTTTGATACAATGTGTAGTGATCAAGTCAGAGTAATTGGGATATTCATTACCTCAAACATTTACCATTTCTTCATGTTAGGAACATTTCAATTCCATTACTCTAGTTATTTAAAAATATATAGTAAATTATTTTGAGCTATAGTCACGCTATCATACTGCCAGACACTGGATCTTATTCCTTTTAACTGTATTTTTGTACCCATTAATCAGCCAAACCCTCTCTATCCCGCTCCTACTACCCTTCCCAGTACGTGGTAGCCATCATTCTAGTCTCTATCTCCATGAGATCAATATTTTTAGCTCCCACAAATGAATGAGAACATATGATATTTGTCTTTCTGTGCCTGGCTTATTTCACTTAATGTAATGTCCTTCAATTCTATCCATGTTGTTGCGAATGACAGGATTTCCTTTTTTTTAATGGCTGAATAATATTTCACATTTTCTTTGTCTATTCATCTATTGATGGACATTTAAGTTGATTTCATATCTTGGCTATTGTGAAAAGTGCTGCAATAAACATATAAGCATGGATATCCTTTAATGTACTGATTTCTTTTCTTTTGGATATATACCCCACAGTGGGATTACTAGGTCATATGGTAGTGCTATTTTTGTTTTTTGTAGAACCTTCACACTGTTTCTCATAGTGACTGTACTGATTTACATTCCCATCATCAGGGTATAAACGTGCCCTCTTCACCACATCCTCTCCATCATCCATTATTTTTTGTCTTTTTGATAAAAGCCATTTTAACTGGGGTGAGATCGTATCTCGTGACTTTTCAAATGAGTTTCTTGCTAACTGGGATTTTTATTGGATTTATTAATTTGATAGATTAATTTGGAAAGAATTGACATTTTATATTGTTTTAAGAAAGAACATAGTATGTCCCTCTATGTGTCCAGATCATCTTCTTTACACCTTATTACTTTACTACTATGTTGTACTTCAATTAAGAGGAAAAAATAGTGAATACTTTGATCATTTTCATAATGTAAACACGTTCATGTAACCATTACCCTGCTCCAGAAATAGAAAATTCCAAGTATTCCAGAAGCCCTATTTTGTGCTCTTTCTCAATAATTATCTACCATCTCCCTCAAGGATAACCACTATTATGACTTTTGTCCATTTATGATCCTTACATAAAGGGAAAATTATAGTATGTATTCTTTTCTGGTTGGTATATCTGTTTAACATTATATTTGTGAAATTAATCCATGCTGTTTTATATAGTTCATTCATTTTCATTATATATGTTATTCCACTGGATGAATATACTACAATTTATTAATTCTACTGCTAATAGGCATTTGGATTATTTCTGGTTTGGAGTTTCCAGTAATTTTGTCATGAAAATTTATATATATGTGTGCCTACATGTGTATGCATTAAATAGGGCACAAAAGTAAGTGGGATTACTGTGTCATATTGTATGTGTAAATTCAGCCTTGAAAAGTAATGAAAAACAGGCTTTTTAAGTAATCCAATTTACATTCCTACAAGCAGTATATGTGTGTTCCAATTAACTCATATGCTTAGTAACACAATATTATCAGTCTTCTTAATTTTAGTCATTCTGGCATGAGTATAGTGGTAGCTCATGGTTTTAGTTTTCATCTCCCTGATGACTAATAACATTGAGCACCTTTTCATATATTTATTTGATTTTTGGAGATGTCCTTTTTTTGCAGAGGTGGTTTATATCTCTTTCTCATTTTTTCTGTTGAATTTTATAAATTTTTATTATTGATTTGATAAAGTTTTTGTGTATATATATTTGGGATACTTACTCTTTGTCCGTTTTCTGTGATGCAAATGTACTTTCTTAATCTATAACTTCATATTTAATTTTCAAAATGGTGTCTTTTAATGGATGAAAGTTTTCCACTTTAGTGTTAGTGTAGTCAATGTGTAGTTATTTTTCTTTTTCTGTGTTGTCAACGAAATTTTTCTTTAACCTAAGTTCATGAAAATATTATCTATTATCTTCTAGAAAGTCTCTTGTTTACTTTAACCTTTAGATCTGCAGCCTACCTGGGTTTATGTTTTTGTATATGAAGTTGGGACCAATGCTTATTTTCTTCTTCTATAGAGTCAATTGGTGCAGTGACATTTATTGAAAAGCTGCCTTTTTTCTATCATCTTACTCTGTTAACCTTACTCAGAAACAATGTCCATACATGCCTGGGTCTTTTTCCATGACTTTTATGCTGTTCTATTCATCTACTTGCTATCCTTACATCAATTGTCCCTGTCTTAAATAATGTGGATATGCAATATCTAATATATACTTTATACTAGATTATATATAATAATATGCTGCAGAGCCATGGTTCTCAAACTTGGTTGTGCATTACAAATACCTGGATCAATTTTAAAACGTAAACACCTAGGATTCCGCTCAAGAGATAACGATTTAATTGTGTAAAGGTAAGACATCACCATCAGGTTTTAAAAAATCTTCCTGATGATTATAACACATAGCCAATTTGATAACTACCACTTTAGAATGAGTTCTTTCAATTTATTATTCTCCTTCACGTTTGGCACTTTGAATTTTCACATACATTTTAGAATTAACTTATCAACTTCCACAAAAGTCCTCTTGTAAGTTTGATTAGCTGTGCATTGGTTTGGAGAAAATTGGCATCATTTTAAATGAACTGTTCTCACCCAGTAATCTGGTATAGTTCTCTAGTAATTTAAGTCTATTTCATTTCTGTCAGTAACATTTCATAATTTTTAATGCAGATCTTTTACTTTTTCAGATTTATTTGTAGTTGATTTTTTTCATGCCATTTTAAATGATATCTTTAAAACCATTCATTTTCTCTTTGTTGTACTTATTGAATTTTAAGAATATATCTTTAACTTATTTTGGATATGTTATGTGTACTTTTGTGTTGTCTGAGAATATTGATGGATTTTGCTTGTGGTATAATACTGAACAGAGGTAATAATAATAAAAAAAGATCTCCTTATTTCATTCAAAACCACTCAGAGCAATTTTCAGTAATTCACCATTAAATATGTTTGTTTTACATTAAATTAGTTCTAGTTTTCTAAAAGGTTTTAAAAACGAATCTATGTTTGATGTTTGTCAAATATTCTTTTTGTAACTCTTATGATTACTTTTTTTTTTAACATTAAAAAAAGGTTAAACATGCTTTTAATTGTGGAATATGACCAATTGGGTCATATGTCACTGAATTTGGCTTAATTTTTGTTGTTGTTGTTAGAATGTATCTCTTTTAGGGAATTATATTAGCTTATAGTTTTTATTTTTTGTAATATCATAGCCAGGCTTTAGTATCAAGTTAGCTGAACTTATGGAAATTCTTGGATCGAGTCTTTTGTTAATTTCCTGAAGA